GTTTTGCAGTCAAAGGAAAAAAGGTATTTCCTATGCTAAAAACACTTGCTTACATACAACTGAAAATAGAATCTTACTTGAAATAACATTATCTACCATCAGAAGGAATCCCTTCAGGATCATTAAGCCACTTCCTTTGCTCTGAAGTTCCTACAGTAGTATTAAGTTATATTAAATCACCTGAAAAAAATTCCAAAAGAGAACCACATACTACCATATCCAAAACTTAGCATTTTTCAAAAAAAATCCCCCCCAAGATTTTACCTTACATTACACATCAGCTGAGTAGGCCAAACCAAATGTTTCTTGCTCAGCCCCTATACTTTGAGAACAGGTAATACACCAAATTATGGTTTGTACTTTCACTGCCCAAAATTTTCACACACTGGTTAAACAACCAGTAACAAAATGAAGGAAGCAAAACTAGAGGCATTGGGAGTTACTTGCCAACTCTGAAGTTGAGATTTCTTTAGTTTTTCCATCCTAAGTATTTAAGTTCTGAGTTATCTGAAATCATAAACTCAACAATTACCTAAACCCAACCCTCCCAGTCCCAACCATAACAGGCACTGCCAACTATTCCCCTTTGAATTTAAGAGTATTTTATGAAAGTCATTATTTAGAAACTTAACTTCAACATCTGGCCTAGTCAAGCTCTTCTGAAGGTCTCCTGAGATGACCGAATATGAATGAACCAAAGCTGCTCTGTGCTGTTTGTTACTTTTCAGCTTCAACTGGGAATACTCTTCCAAAGAAAAAGGCAGCTCCAATCCTTGGAGATGTTGGTGCCAACAGCTTAGCAGTAAATCCTTCTCTAACCCAGTTTTGTCAATAGTACTATAGCATAGCATCTGTGGAGAATCTTAAAAAAAAAACATTTCCTCCCACCGCCCCCTTCTTTTCTCTTCCCTGGTTAAGATCACCCCAAAATACTTTTAGTAAAAACAAGTTTAAGGAATTAAGTACTTTCTTAAAAATCTGATGAAAGGGGGAAAAAATTGTTAAACTACCAGCCATTTCTCCAATGGACAGCTCCTCCACAGACCTCAAAGTGAAGGCTAGTATCTAGAACTGTTAATCTGGTGTTCTGATTATCCTGATACTGGATTTTCTTTTTTTCTGTGACCTTGAGCCATTTTGCCTTTGCGATTCTAGACAGACCTAAGGGGAAAAAAACTCAAAACACATTGCTCCCCCCACCGTCCCCCACAAAAAACAACACCCCCAACAAACTCCCTATTTCAAATACTGTTAATTCAGGGTAAGGAGAAAAAAACAGGACATCTACTGAAGGTCATCTACTAAAATGATTCCTCGTTTTCAACCCGAGCTAAAAAAAAAGCTGCTTACAAATTTGCTGATATTTTCTCCTCAAGGTTGGGTCTAGCCATTTCGTTTTTTAAAAACAAAACAAAACACCAACTTGCCAGCTACCATTCCTCCGGGACTTGGCAGTCTGCCCTCAAAAGCGTCAGATAAGATGCATGAGAACACAAGCCTGCAAAAGAGAAACCTACGACACCCGCCATCGGCCTAGACCCTCACATCCCTTCACCGAAAACAAACGCCCCGTTACCGTTGGGAAAGCAGTGACAAAGGTGGGTTACGGAGAAAACATGGACTCAGAGCCCAGCTGGACTCGCCTGGACCGCTCGCTTGTTCCCTGGCTCCTGCCGGTATAGGCTCTGCTACCATCTACGCGCCGCCGCTCCTTCCTGGCTTCCTCGCCTAGCTCCTCAGCAGCATGCGCGCCTCCTTCCTTCTTCCTAGCTCCTCCTCCTCCTGGCCTCACTCCGCAGGGATCCCGGGCTGCTCCTTCCTTCCTACGCCACCTGGCACCGCCGCTGGCCGCTCCACCGCCATCACCGTTCCCGGCCGCACTCCCACTAACGCTAGGCCTCTGGGCTCCCACCTCTGCTCAGTTCAGGCACCGTGGCCGGATCGGTCTTCGCTCCAACTGCACCCATTTCGCAAAGTCCTTTCCTCGTTTACGGAAACACTAAGCTCAAAAAACTACCTTCTCCTTCCACCACACGCTTCTTACAAGAGTAGCTCAGTCCTTTTGCCTCCCTTCTAGCTTCGGGATCCTCTTCTAAGTCGCTCCTCGTCTTCTGACACCCTTACTGCGTCTGCGTCCCCGAAATTTAACTGACGGGCTTTGGAAAACAAGCCTACCTATTTTTATTTCTTCCACTTTATATAAAGTTTCCTATTTTTCCTCGACTGTCTTGTATGCTTCTGCCCAATACCTCTTTTCTAGCTTCGTTTTTTAAAATCAGGAATACTTCAATTTTATTATTTTGCTATCTTGATATTCTATCTTCTAAATTTGAACTTCTTATTTGCTTAAATCTTTTTCTTCTGCTTTCTACCTCTCCGTGGTTTGTCCTCTAAATTGTTTCCTACATTTCTTGGATTTTTAAGATTTGTCTTCTAAATACTGTTTCTTCAGCTTCCTACCACTTGGATTAATTTTGTCTTCTAAATACTTTTACTTCTGCTTCCTCTCTCTTAGGTTTAAAATTTTATTTTGTCTTCTCAAATAGTTTCTGCTTCCTATCGGATTTTTACATTGTCTTCTACAAAACTTTCTTCTTCCTAATCTCTCAGATTTCTGGTCTTCTATTTTTTTTTCTTCTGCTTCCTACCTACCGCTCTTTGTTTCCTAAAATAGCTTTTCTTCTACTTCCTATCTCTTGTATTTGTTTTTCTTTAACTTAGATTTAAAAGTGTTCTCTAAACACTTTGCTTCCTGAGGGTTGTCTTCTAAAGACGTACTTGTTTATCTTTTAGCTTTTTCTTCACCTTCCTGTTTCTATTTCTAATAGCTAGTCTTCTTTCTCCAAATTGATTCTACAAGTTTCACTATTAGCATTTTTTCTTAGCAAATACTGTTTAGATATCTAACTCGGCGTCGAACGACAATCTTTACTGCGCCATCAATTTGAATGCCTCTTATCGCCCTTCAATTTAAGCTTTTGTATTATTCGCTCATACTTGAACTTTTAAGTTTAAATGACTGTTTAACCTGAATCTAAAAGGCTGATTCTTCTCTGAATTCTCAGCTGAGCCCTTTTTTTAAATGACTCATTCAGATGCTTCATCTCAACCTCCATGGTATTCTTTAGTTTTTCGTCTTCCTTTCTTAAAACTATTTTTTATAAAAGTCTTCATTTTTTTAAAATTAGACATTTTTAAGTTACCTTAACAGCACAATGCTTAAGATTTACTATCTAGAACTCGGCATTAATTCCTAGCTTTCCTTCTTAACGAAAAAAAAAAAAAAAACTTATCTGCAATCTCCTTAGCTGTCTCCTGCCTCAGCTCCCTGTGCGCTCGCTGCCTGAATGCCTGCAGCACTGGCGCGGAGAGGCGTATTTATAGACCAGAGACGACTCACACCCGACCAGAATTTAATAATCTTCCGCGGCCTTTGTGAGAGAAGCAAAGGTAGTTCCTGGTTAGCGTTAAAAATAGAGTCTGGCTACAGGACTTTGCAAAGCTTCCATAAGTATGTGCAATTTTCTTGCCAGTTAATACCCAGAAATATTAGAGTACATTTTAACTGGTATTTTAGGCAAAAAGATCATTTTAAATAAAAAGTATAGTGGCTATCAAGCCTCTCAAATACTCGGAGCCATTACTTAGGAATTTTTTAATAGCTCTTAACAGACCTTTTATGTTTTCTTGGCGTGTACTGTAGGTACTATTTACTGCTTTTTGAAGGAAGGTTAAAATGGGTTTGTTGACAGCCTCCATTTTCATTATGTAACTGAGTCAGCCTCATAAATGCAGACCGCAGCCATTTTAGAAGCAGCAGACTGAATTGTCTGGAGTTTATTCCCAAACTGCCTGAGACCCTCTGAATTGATGTTTCACCACACAAGTACTTGAGGAATCTGAGTATATGGAGTTATCTGAGAGTTCTACTGATTGTGAAAACCCACTTCTAGAAACTTTTTCTCAAACCAATTATTGCTCATAATACAAGCTACAGAGCTTTAAAATCTGAGGCATTGGACTCTTCCTCAGAGCTTACGTGTGTGTGTGTGTGGGGGGGGGG